GGAATGATATTCATCTTTTTACTCTTGGTTATTAATATGTGTCCTTTCTCAATTAAATAATGATGTTTGTTTTGGCATTTGGATCAGCGACCAAACAATTGCTAGATCTAATATCAACTTCCCTTGGTTTGCTGAAACAAATATTACCCTGCACTTCTTTTACATTTAGTCTAAGCAGCATACTTTTTATTTATTCATATTTCTAAACTGTCCACCTTCTTTTATCTGACATAAGCCACTTTGTTTTCTCTTCCCCCACCCACCCCAAATCTTTTCCCCAAAATATAACTTTTGTTCCCTTCCCTCTTACTCTCTCTTATACATACATTTATTTTATTTTATTTTATTTATTTGATTTGCCAATTGTTTACAAGATAATAAGTATAAGTGTATACATAGTTGTGAATACATGAAATGGGTACATATAAGAAAAATAAAAGAATAAGAGAAACAATAGGACAGGGACGGTAGGCACAATGGTGCGCTTATGCACGCCCCCTACAGACCTCTTAGGAAAGGGGTGAGGTCAATAGTAGACAGTCTAAGGTTAAAGTTTTTGGGGTTTGGGGAAGAGACTATAGAGTCGGGTAGAGTATTCCAGACATTGACCACTCTATTGCTGAAGTCGTATTTCCTGCAATCAAGTTTGGTGCGGTTTACTTTGAGTTTGTATCTATTGTGTGCTCTTGTGTTGTTATGGTTGAAGCTGAAGTATTCATTGACAGGTAGGACATTGCAATGTATGATTTTATATACCATGCTTAAGTCAGACCGAAGACGGCGTAATTCAAGGTTTTCTAGTTTTAGAATTTCAAGTCTGGTGGCATAAGGTATTCTACAACGAGTAGAAGAGTGGAGAACTCTTCTTGTGAAATATTTCTGGACTTTCTCAATTGTGCTAATATCAGATACGTAATGAGGGTTCCAGACTGATGAACTGTATTCGAGTATTGGTCTAGCAAATGTTTTGTATGCTCTGGTTAGTAGTGTGATATTACCAGAGAAAAAACTTCGTAGGATTAGGTTAACAACTCTTAATGCCTTTTTGGCTATGTAGTTGCAGTGGGCTCTAGCACTTAGATCATTAGAGGTGAGTATTCCAAGGTCCTTTACAGAGCTTGGGTCATCAACAAGATCTTGACTATTCAGCTTGTATTTTATTTTCTGATTTTTTTTGCCAATATGTAAGACAGAGCATTTATTTGTTGAGATTTGAAGTTGCCATTTGTTTGACCATTCAGATACATAGTCAAGATCTTTTTGTAAGGTAGCAGTATTGTCTGTGGTATTGAACAGCTTTACATCATCAGCGAAGAGAACGCAATTGCTCTTAATATGATCACAGAGGTCGTTTATGTAGAGTATGAAGAGAGTTGGTCCTAGAACACTGCCCTGGGGGACACCACTATTGACAGGTACTGGATTTGATAGAACGCTCCCGATTTTGACCATTTGTTGTCTGTTTGACAGGAATGCTTCTATCCAGTTATTCAGTTGTCCAGAGATACCATAGGATTTTATTTTTAGGAGTAGTTTGTCGTGTACCACTGAATCAAAGGCTTTACAGAAGTCTATGTAGATTGCGTCAATTGCTTTGCCCTGGTCGAGTTGTGTCGTCCATATGTTTTTGCAGTGTAAGAGTTGTAGATTACAGGATAGTTTTTTTCTGAAACCAAATTGTTTATTGGAGAGTAGGTTGTTTGACTCTAAGTGGAGGATGATGGATTGGTTAATAATTGATTCCATGACTTTACAGGTGACGCAGCATAAGGAGATTGGCCTGTAATTTTCAACTAGGCTTGGGTCTCCCTTTTTGAAGATGGGGATGACTGTGGCTTGTGACCATAGGTTAGGCAAGGAGCTGGTCCTGAAAGATTTTTCAAAGATTATGCTTAGAGGTTTGGCTATGGCAGTGGATAGCTTTCTTAAGAAGTAGGCACATATTCCATCCAGTCCAATAGATAGAGATGGTTTTAGATTGCGTAGTGATTTTTCGACATTGTCTTCTGTGAAATCGATATGTATTAGATCATTGTTGTTATCTGTGGTACGGCTAGGAAATACTGGGCATGATCCATTGCTGTTTACAAATACTGAGCCGAAGAATGTGTTAAAGATGTTGGCTTTAATGGTGTCGTCGTTGCAGTCTTTACCATCAGGTCCTATCAAGGGAGGGATGGACCTTGAGTCTTTTAGTTTGTTGTTTACAAAATTGTAAAAAGCTCGGGTGGAATTGGTGCTTAGAAGGTTTTCCTCTTGTTTAATGTGATAATTGGTGCATTCAGTCTTTATCTGGTGGCATAAATTTTTGTATCGGTTTTTGAAATTGGCAACGTGACCAGATTTGTTTTTCCGCCAGAGTGATCTCTTTTTGGATTGAAGTTTCCTTATTGATATGGGTAATCTGCTTTTTTGTTTTGTTTTGGGAGTTGTTGTTGGAACATATAGTTTGATGACTCTTTTGACTTCAAGTAAAAATATGTTATAATGGTCTTCAACGGTATTGCATCCAGTGAATAGAGTTTGCCAATCAAGGGATGAGAGATCGTTGTCTATAAGATCATAGTTGCCTTTTTTGAAGTTACAATAGGGGATTACATCATTGTGGTGATTTTTGTGTGGATGTATGTTGAGACAAAAGTCGATCATATTGTGGTCACTACTGGAAAAGGGTTCTTTAGTTTGTATTCCGTAAATTAGGTTCAAACTGTTGCAGAAGATGAGATCGAGGCAGTTGTTTAGTCTAGTGTTGTTGATTACTAGTTGTTCCAGTCCCAGATTTGTAATAGCATTGTAGAAGGTTGTGTGTATGATTTCAGTTGTACAATCATTTAGGGTCCAGTTAATATGAGGTAGATTGAAATCACCAAGAAGGATAAAAGGGTATGGGCAGGATGCAGCCCATGTTAGTAATGTATTTAGCTTGTTTACATGTTCGATGTCATAATCAGGTGCTCTGTAACATAGTAAGAATCGAATTGTGATATTTGAGGATAGTTCACAGATGATGGTTTCAGGAAGGGCAAGCTCCTGGGTAACTTGGATATTTTTTAGATGTAAGGATTTTTTATAGAATATAGCAACACCACCTCCTCGACGATTTTCACGATCTGATCTGTAAACATGATAGTCTCTTACTGTGGTAATGGAGTCGGGGAGAGATGCATTGAGCCATGTTTCACAGACAAATATAATGTCGAAGTTAGCCATATTTAGGAGGAAGAGAAATTCATGGAAGAGAAATACATTACATGGTGTTTTAAGATTTTTGAGTGTTGAGTAATCTGGTATACTGGCAGCAGACTTTTTAATTGCACTGCCAGCCAAAAAGGGAAAGAAAAAAGATTTGGCAGCTTGTCTCAGGGTCCAACTATTTGTTTTGCTTCACACACTTCCTTCCTACCCAGACCATTCTGAATCACTACCATGCAGACTCCTTGGAGGCTACTTAACTTAGTCATGTAGCTGTGTGAATTTTTACTGCCTCTAAATAAGCACTATAACATCTGGGCTGCAGAAATTGAGACAACCATTAATGGCAGTAAAGAGATTTTAAAAATCTGTTACTCTCTAGTGGCCATCCAGATGTTCGTAACCCAGGTATGATAGCCTTGCTTCAAGGCCCATCACATGAGCTGTCAGCAAAGTAGATCAAGGTTAGAGCAGGAAAAAAAGGTGAACAAAAGAATGAATAGAGTGCAAAGTTTTTAAAATCCAGATGATTTGGCAAAATTCCAGATATCTGGCCACCCTATCCACTGAGCTGTCATCGTATATTTTTGTTTTACATTTCTATGACAAGATGTTTTAATTATGCTTGCGTTACATATTTTATTGTATACCACCCAGAATCCCTCTGCAAAGAAGATGGGCAGTTCTTAAATATGATAGCTAGACATACAGACAGACACAGACAGACAACCTGGAAGCAAGCTCTGTTAAGGCTTAGTGGCGTTCTGACTGCCATCATTCGGTACTGCTGTATGCCTGAGTATAGAATAAAACTTGACATAACTTAAAATTCAGTGGTTGATTTCTGTTGGCAATTTGCTATTTGAACATCCAAACAGTGGAGGTTTCTAGTTAAGTACGCACATTTGAGTTTCTAATTGCAACTGTGCATAGTGCCTGGAGGGATAACATAGTAGTGTGTTCATTGTTTGAGCTTTCCCCTTAGTGCCTCAGTAGGGCTACGCAAAGCTTAAAATTAACTTGGGAAAAAGGCTTTGGAATGTGCAAGATTACAAGTGCAGCATCTGTTTCTGAATGAGCCACTTCTGAAGCTTTCCTTGCAACCCTGGAAATAGAACAGTTTGTGGCAGGACGAAAGCACACGAACGCATGTATGTAGCAGTCAAGAATTCCTTGGTCCACCATGACTGACTGACGTGACTGATTTTCAGTTCAGAGAACCATATCTATGACTGCCTATTATTATTTTCTTTCTGTACCTCAGTGTTAAGTTTTCATAGTGTATATTATAAGTAATCAACCTAAATATTTAACATTAATCTAGAAACCAAGAAATCTAACTTTTTAAACAATCCAGATCTTTCACTTTCCGTTTTATTGTCACAACGAAAACCTCCTTTTAACTTGGATTAACAAACTGTCATAATCGTCATATGTCAAATCTGTAAGTATTTCGGGCTCCAATTCTGATTCTACCTCTCTCATTCCTCCCACTCCAATCTCGAAGTTTTTCTATTCACTGTGCTGTACACGCTTCATCCTAAGAAAAACTACGTTTCCCATAAGGTCTTGCTCGACTTTCCAGTCTTAAAGAAGCCCCCACAGCAAACCGGATATGCCTCACACATTAATGCCTGATTAGGGAAATGAATGATTTTCTCTGCCTGCCAAAATACTTCAGTATGGGCTGACAAGAAGCCTAGCTCCTTTTCTGCCTTGGCGGAGGGGAGGTGTTAATCCCAGCGGAGTTCCGATTTAACAAAATTAAAGGTTGCTATTCAGGGGTCGGATTAGACACCCCGAGAGCGATGGGAGGGCGGACGATTGAGGTCCTGAGAGGTGCGGAGACCGAATTGGAGCGAGGGAATTAAGCGCCGAGTCTCCGTTGAGCGCGCGACAGCCGTTGGGCGCGCGTGCCGGTTGCCGAGGTCGAGTCTGACAGACGCTCAGTTGCTGTCTCGGGATCAAAGCGCGGACAAGATGAGCAGCAAAGAAGGTGGCGGTGGGTCAGGGGGAGGCGAGAGCCCCTCGTCCGAGGAGCAAAATGCAAGGGGCGCGGGGAAGGCCAGTGGCTGCCTTTCCTCGCCTGCTGCCTTTCCCGGGCCCTTTATTTTTTTTAAACCTGGGTTCTTCCTTCCATTGCTTCGTTTCAAATGCAGGCAGTCCCCGACTTACGGCCACAGTTTGAGCCCGACATATCTGTTGCTAAATGGGACATTGGGTGAAGTGAGTTTTGCCTCATTTGACGACCTTTCCTGCCACCGTGGTTAAGTGAATCGCTGCGGTCGATAACTTAGTAACCTGGTTGTTAAGCGAACCGGGCTTCCCCCCTTTGACTTTGCAGGCCAGAACGTTGGGAAAGGTGACCTTGGAACACAGCAGCTGTCATTAAACATGAACCAGTTGCCAAGTGTCTGAATTTTGATCACAGGATCATGGGGAGGCTTCAAATGTCATAACTGCGAAAAACGGTCACAAGTCACTTTTTTTCAGTGCCACTGTAACTTTGAAGAGTCATTAAATGAACTGTTGTAAGTCGAGGACTACCTGTAATAGAATAACAGTTGGCAGGGAGGTCTTCTAGTCCAATTCCCATCTCAAGTAGGAGTCCCCATACCGTTCCGAACAAATGTCTGTCCAATATCTTCTTAAATATTAAAAAAAACCTCCAGTATTGGACCACCCATAATTTCTGGAGGCAAGTTGTTACACAGATCAATTGTTGTCAGTATCAGGAAGTTTCTCTTTAATTCTAGGTTGGATCTTTGATAACTTTCCAGCTGTTTCTTCTTGTCCTGCCCTCAGATACTTTGGAGAAGAGGTTGCCCCCCTCTTGTTTATGACAGCCCCTCCGATATTGGAAAACTGCTATCATGTCACCCCTAGCCCTTCTCTTTGTTAGTCTAGACATCCCCAGTTCCTGCAACCGTTCATCACACATTTTGGCCTCCAGATTCCTTATCATCTTCGTTCTTCTTCTCTGTACTCTTTCCAAAGTCTCAACATCTTTCCTCTGCTAACCAGAACTAGACACAATATTCCAAGTGTGGTCTTACAAGGTGGTATATAGTGATATTAACACTTCACATGATACTATTACTCTGTTGATGCAGCATAAGAGTACATTGACTTTTTTTTTTTGCCAGCTAAGTACAGTGGTGGCTCATATTTAAGTGATTGTCCACTAGGACTCCTAAATCCCTTTTGCAGTTACAGTTGAGCTAAGTACCACCTATTCCCGTGATGGCGAACCTATGGCACACGTGCCAGAAGCGGCACGCAGAGCCATCTCTGCCAGCACGCGAGCTGTCGCCCCAGCTCAGTTCCACTGCGCATGCATGCGCGCCTCCTGCCAGCCAACTGATTTTCGGGTATCTGCTGCAAAAAGCGGGGGGGGGGGGCGGGGCACATGTGCAGGGGGAGTGCGGGGACAGGGGAGCATGCGTAGGGGCAGGGTTCACGCGGGGGTTCATGCATGCATTGCATTATGGGTGCGGGCATTCGTGCATGTGCACGCACTTACTTACAGCACATGATGACAGAAAGATTAGCCATCACTGACCTATTCTATACCTGTGCATTTGGTTTTTCTTGCCTCGGTGTAAAACCTTACTTTTCTTGCCATTGAATTACATTTTGTTGGATAGAGCCAAGTGTTCGAGTCTGTCTTTCTGAATCTTTTGAGTCTATCTTCTAAAGTGTTGGCTATTCTCCCTAGCTTGGTGTCGTCTGCAAATTTCATGAGTTCCCCTTCTATCCCCTCATCTAATTCATTCATGAAGACAATATAATAGTAGTAGTGTTACAATATCTAAGGGGTTGCCATAAAAGAAGGGAGAGGTCAACCTATTTTCCAAAGCACCTGAAGGCAGGACAAGAAGCAATGAGTGGAAACCACTCAAGGAGAGAACTGACGTAAAACTAAGGAAAATTTTCCTGATAGTTAGAATAATCAGTGCAACAACTTGCCTCCAGAAGTTGTGGTTGCTCCAACACAGGAAGTTTTTAAGAAGAGGTTGGACAACCATTTGTCTGAAATAGTAAAGGGTTCTGTTATGTTGAAGAGCACTGGGTCTAAGAAGAACCTTGGGATACCCCACCACATACTTTCCTCCATGTATATGTAGTTACATTATGGGCTACATGTTGAGTGCAGTTTGCCAGCCAGTTACAGATCCATCTGATGGTGATGCTGTCTATCCCACACTTCTTATTTTACCAAGAAGTAGGTTGTAGTCTATTTTGTCATATGCCTCTCTGGAGTCCAAGTGTATGATGTCCACAGCATTTTGCTGATCCACTAATTTAGCCACTATGTCAAAAACTCCAATAAGTTTTGTTTGGCACAATCTGTTTTTGGCAAACTCATGTTGGCTTCTAATAATAGATTTGCTTTCTTCTGGGTGTTTGCAAGTCTATTGTTTGATTACCTATCCTATATACTGGTATTCTGCCTTAGTTATGTGTCCCACTTTCCATTTTTTATACTTGCCCTTTTTATCTTTCAGTTTAACATTGCTGCATTTTCTTGCCTTCTGTAATCCTATTCTTGTTCTTCCTAATTTTTGTTTCTTGTATTTAATCCCCAGAATAGAGTCTAGGCATCAGTAACAAGGGAAAAAAGCTTGTTGACCTTAAAATGAACACAACCAAATTTCCAAAGGTTGCTTTTTGGCAGGAAGCTCTTGTGCCTATAACAAGTATGATGAAACACATCATGTAATGGAAGAGGCAGAAACCCACCATCTGAAATATTCTGTTTATATGTTTGATCCAGGAGTTCACATGTCAGAGCATAGCATTGTTTTTGTTGCTTTTTATTTACACATAAAACATAGGGCAAGATTGGGCAATTTGTACTTTCCCAGAAAGCAGATTTTAACAATTCTGTTTTAATGGCCATTTCACATAGAACATGTAAAAGCACACATTGTCCATGAAAGTAGGAAAACAGTAAATGCAATTAATATTACATTACTTTTATGCTGGTTCAATCAATTGAATGTAATAAATTTAAAAACTGTTAGCTGACCTTTTGAAACAATCAAAATCAGCTGATTCTATGTTCCCCCATTCTATTGAATGATAAATTATATATGTTATATATGAAATGCCATTGCCTTGTTTGACAGTTAGCTCTCATCTAAAAATACCATGAAGTTTCCATATCAGTAGACTAAATCCAGTATTCTGTAAAAAATGGTGAATGGAATTGTGGACAGTTTTCTAGTTTCCCAAATGCCCATGATATGGGCATTTCAGCTATGAAAAGTTGTGAACATTTTTTGAGAACTACATTATAATTTGATAATACTTTTTTCAATCTTACACAAACAGGTGGCTTCAGAAAAAGGAAACATGACAGTTTCCCACATGGTCATAGGAGGGAAGAGAAAGATAGCATCAATTTTTCTTCATCCATAATGACACCCTTCAAGAGTAAGTAATTTTAGAGACCTTAATTGTGGCTCATATACTTGTATGTGAAATGATCATATATGTGATACAATTCCTCTTAAGCTATGATAGAACCATTCTGCACATTTCTATAACAGAGTACTGTGATTTGCAGGCATGATTCCAGATGGTTTCTGAGAATTGATTGCTTCATATTGTAAGTGATTACTTCCATAAAAATGGAGAATTGCACTACTTTTTTCTTTGATGTGTGAATTGGATATGATTCTTTAAAGGTTTAAGTCAGAATTTTTGCAGAATGAATGAAGTTTATTGACTAGCAAACTATTAACATTCTAAACAGTTAAGCTGTATTTAAACAAAGGTTAAACTCTATTTTAATAGCTTTATGAGTTTCTCAGAACACATGAAATCTGTTTTTGTACAGCTGTATATTTTGTAGAGTTTGCATGTTCATATCTGTATTTCTAATATTTATTGACATTCATTTTCAGTGTTTCAGCAGGAACTTGATACAAGACATGATAAATATGAAAGGCTTGTGAAACTTAGTCGTGACATAACTATTGAAAGTAAGAGGACCATATTCCTACTTCATAGAATTACCAGGCAAGTATCTATGTTTGTCTTTCACATTTCCTAATATATACCTTTTGCTTTGGTCAGATATGCAAAAGCAAAGGAATCCTGTAATAAGTAACATAAAACAAAGAGTTAGGAATGAAGGGAAGAAATGTTTCTATGGTTTTTTTGAATATATAAGAGGCCAACATATACTTTAAAGTTCTAGTGCTTATAATAGTGTTTGAAAAGGATGAATGTGATAACTTTTAAAGTAAAATACCAAAAGATCTGTATATAGCATGCATCATTGCTTCTTTGCTGATGTTTTAACAGCAGTCACTTTTTAATTTGATTGTATTCTGTAATCACAGTGCTTCCAATGTAGAAGAAATACTAACAGAATCTGAAGTCAAATTAGATCTTGTGAGACAGAAGATAAAACAAGTGGCACAAGAATTGATGGGAGAGGATATGCATCAGTACCATAGAGCTATTTCTCCAGGTATGTGTGAGAAATAAAAAAAGCAAACAAAACTTGCAAAAGAGATAATTCTGGATATTTTACCAGACTTACTTTTGTTACATTGGACAGCATATTGACAATGCCTTTTGATTCTATCACCCAGGGATAATGTTGTTTTGATTCCATCAAGATATTTGCATATAGAAATTTATAACATTGATTTAGGGAGAGGCTTTGCATTGTACAGAAATCAGTTGCAATTGTTCTGGGCTAGCTAATTAATAGATTAAACCTTAATTTCTGTTATACCTATTTCTACTATAAGAATTCTACTATAAAATTCTACTTATTTTACTTTATATAATCAAAGATTAATCACCCCCCTCCCCCGAATATTTAATTATTTAAAAGATGTATTTGTCTGCCATCTTGTAAACCACAACTCTGGGCAACTCATAACAATAAAAACTACAACAGTAATAAAAAAAAACCCAAAGATAATAAACTAGGCATCTGATCTACAATTTTTAGTCCAACAAACAATGAAATCCTTGGGCTCTATCTCAGTGCCTGTGGAGAAAACCAACCCTTTATGGTTTTTTGGAAGCTAAATATGTGGAAATCTGCTAGATCCCAGACAGGAAGAGGCAGCTATGGAAAAGGGATGTTTCCTGAGTCCCACCAGATTTAACAGATGGACCCTGGAGTGTCCCCACACTATCTAGCCTAATAGAGTGGACAAATGGAAACAGGGTCAGCCCATTGCACAAATAACCTGGCCTCTTGTTAAATAGTTTTAAAAGTAATAAGCAAGAACTTGCATTACACCTGAAAAGAAATCAGAAACCCAAAGCCACTCCATCTTGCTAGGCTTGAGTTGGGGCAGTTTCTCCTTATCCAGATTCTCACAGGACCTGCATCAACATTAAAATAATGCTACCTTGGGTAGAGAAAGGAAAATGGGTATCATCAGCATACTGTACCTCACCTAGCAGTTTTATATAGATGTTAAAAAGGAACACTGAGAGCCCTGAGGTACCCCGTATTGCAAGAACCTAGGGCTTGACTCTCCCCACCCCTAAACACTGACTGGAACAAAAGCCAAATAAATGAATTCTCCAATGTAAGGATTTGGGATGCCTCAAGTGAGTGGGGAAGACCCTGGGAGTATTGGTGCAGGCTGCACATGAGTGCCTCTCTCTTAGGCTGAAAATCCTGAGAGTTTAATTCCTTGAATTCCTTGAATTTCAGCAGGGAGGATTTTCAGCTCCTGAGTGGGAAGCTTTCCAGGGAGCTGCTCCTCCAAGGCACCCTGCAATCCTTACCTGGGACTCTGTCCGCTTAATGATAGCCACTGGGAGTGCCAGGATTATGGTTGTTGAGCAAAGCAACGCTGGCATCATATGATATCTCATTTAATGACCACTTCATTGGATTCCGGTCCCAATTGTGATAGTTAAATGAGGACTATGTGCATAAAAAAAGAAATACATAGACATTAAGATGGTTCAACAATACTCACCTATTTAATGTTACAAATGGAAACAGCTTCTCACAAATAAAAGCCAGGCCCACAATCCAGTTTGGTACAGAATTACTAATGAAATAACAATATTTCAGTTTGCTTTATATGTTTAATTTTGTAAAAGACCTACAGTAGATTAGAAATGGGTTCAGCCAATTTCAAAAAAATCTGGTCAAATTTTATTGAAGTACCAGGATTGCAAATTTTATACTTAATGGAAAATGGTATGGTTAGATGTTGTCGATTTATAGCTTCTCGCATTATCTCTTACTAATTTAGTGATACTATTGAATGTTAGCCCTTTATAATGAAATTCTACAACATTCAATAAGCTCATCATCAGGAGAAGGGCACTTTTCCCAAATTAAACTCTGAATACTTCAGTGAGAAAGATTGCAATTATTTTAATTCTTAGAATTTTTACAAAATACTATTTCTTCAAATATTTTTGTAGGACTTGATGAATGGTTACTAATTTAGTAAGAGATAGTGTGAGAAGCTATATATTAAACAATGAATAGATTCAGAAATATGGAAATAGCACCTCTATATAATCTTAATAATTCCACACTGAACAAGATAATAGCATTCCACATAAATTATTAGAAAAATAAATTTGGGAAAGCATACTAATTATCCAAACTACCAGAATTAAATGAGTGTGAAACTTACTTCCTTTGGTAAGCAGTAGAGTGCTTAAAACAAGGAGTTTAAAGGTCACATTCTTAGGCAGTTTTTCAGGCCATAAACCATCAGTAGAATCATAGAAACTGACAGTGATTCAAGAAATTTGGAAGAATTTACCGCTTGGTGTTTCATATATAGCTTGAGTTCTAACATAAGAGATTTTATCTAAATTGTAATCACAACTACATCAAATAATTCAGTATTGATGAATAAACCTCCAGAAGTTTAGGGACATAATTGATTTCTACTTTAAAGTTTGTAGGTAGAGTTCAGACTGCAGCCTTGCATAAGTCTCTGTGTGTACACTTATTACTGTGCATCTTACTGTGGATTTGAAGTCTAATACTGTAAAACAGGACTCATAAGAGAAAAGGTACCTGGAGAAAAGAGAAATAATATGCCAGATGTCAACTAGAAGTAGCCAAGGAAAACCATAAACAAAATGGAATAAGTAGATCAATCTTTATGTCTTCATTTTTAAAAAAATAACCAGATCACTAGAATTTTATAGGCTAGTGAGGTATAAAAGTAAAAGCCACAAATAAAAAATATAGTAGGACTTGTAAGATGAAGCTTCAAAATATTTTAAGATGAAAGAGATAGCAAAGGAATATACAGACATTTAAAAAATAAAGTTTGTGCTTTTAACATCTAGAACCATGTAACTGCTGAAAGGAACTTGTTTTGCTACTAATAATAATTCAGCATGTGGTACCAGGTCCTAATTTAGTTTCTGGTTTTCTACCATAGCCCAATGAGCCCTTTATAGCTACTTCTTGATGAATAGCTTGCTTACTATCATATTTGGACATAAAACTATATATCAGTCCTCAACCTTTCATTAGAATTGCAACAAGTCATATAGCAGAAAGACAAGTTTGCAATAAGATTATCATCAAAGTTTTCCAACCATGAATCTATGTTTTGAGGCAGTCTTAAATACCAGTGTCTTTTGCAGGACTACCCATCTACTGTAAATGCAGCTGAAGCTAAGCAACTTTAATTTGCTAGGATCTGTCCTCTCAAAGTTTCAGCTGTTGTCAGGATCCTTTCCCTGTAAGTGGCTGTTGCTTTGGTAGCTGCTGGCTTTTTCCTTTCTTTCTGCATGTGTTTCTAATTTCAGGTCAGTGATCTGCATTGTGCTTGGGAATGGAAATGCCCACATTTGGTCTTTCTTTTTTTTTTTTAAATATAGTTTATTAATTTTTACAATTAAAACCAGTCACAATACATACACAAATAAGCAAAAGAAAGAAAGAAAAAGAAAGAAAGAAGAGAGAAGAGGAAGAGAGGGAAAGAATTTTGAGAAAAGAAAGAAAGAAAGAGGTTACAGGATAAAAAGTATTCTTATTTTAACAGTTTGCAAGATCTTCTTTTGTTTTCATCACCTTAACTTGTGTCATATAACCACACCTGTTTTTAACTTATATCGCTACCTCATTATTATGTATTGATACTTTTCTTTTATGCCTTATGATATATAATTTATCTTTGGTCAATCCAATTATACCAACAATTCCAGCTATCGTAATATAGTGAAGTGTCTTTGTTTTTTAGCGCCAAAGTCAATTTATCCATTTCTGCGCATTTTGAGATTTTTTCAATAATCATTTCTTCTGATGGAATTTGTTGTTTTTTCCAGTGTTGAGCGAAGGCTAATCTGGCCGCTGTTAAAATGTGTATTGTTATGTATTTGGTTTTTTTGGAAATTTGCTTATCAAAAATCCCTAGTAGGAAGGACTCTGGTTTGTATTCGATCTGCTCTTTGGTGATTTCTTCCAACCAAGTTTTGATTTTCTTCCAATACTTTTGGGTTTCTGCACAAGACCACCACATATGGAAAAAGGTTCCTTCTTTTTTCCTACATTTCCAGCAATGCGGACTCATGTTGGGGTGCATCTTCGCTAACCTCGAAGGGGGGAGATGCCATCTATAAAACATTTTATAAAGATTTTCCTTGTATGCTGCCGATTTGGTAATCTTATTGTTTCTGCCCCAAACTTTCTCTCATTCCACTAATGTGATGCTGCGCCCTACGTTCTTATTCCAAGCAATCATATTTCCTTTTACAATTTCTTCTTCTAGTTCTGTTTCTAATAAGTAGTTATAAAATTTTGTTATGTTTTTTTTATTTGATCCTAATAAAATTTTATCTAACTGTTGCAGTTTGTTATTAATTCCGAATTCTTTTTTGTCTTGTTTATATCTGCTTTGAATCTGAAGGTAAACCCATTGATCAATTTTATGTCCTTGCTCCTGAAGATTCAGCCTCGGTTTCAAATTTCCTTGTGGGTCTAATAAGTCTTTGTATTTAATCATTTTGGTAAGCTCCAAATTGTTTGGGTGAATCATTGCCTCCATTGTTGAAATCCATACTGGTACTTTTGTATAATGTTTTTTCCTTATTTTCCTCCAAATTGTTAATAGTGCGTCTCTAATTAAATGTCTATGGAAATATTTTTGACTGGTTTTCCCTACGTCCCATAGAAAAGCGTGCCACCCCCTTTGTAAATCATGGCCTTCTAGAAATAGTATTCTTTTATTGGTTAAATTCACCCAATCCTTCAACCAAACTAATGAGGTGGCCATATAGTATAACTCCCAGTTTGGAAATGCTAACCCTCCCCTGCTCTTCATATCCTGCATTGCTTTTACATTTATTCTGGGTTTTTTCCCTTGCCAAATAAATTTCAGGGTTGTTCTATTGAGTTCTTCAAAAAACTTTTTATGTAATTTAATTGGGATCGTTTGGAATAGGTACAAGAATTTAGGGAGAATGTTCATTTTAATAGTAGCAATTCGGCCTAGTAGTGAAATTTGAAGTTTC